AATCTGTTGAATGTGGAATCCTTCTAATTAATTAATCACAAGATATCACAAGTAATATGATGTAGTATGGAGCCTTCTTGAATCTATGTAGTTGCAAGGTCCTCAAAAGCAGGGGAAATGGTCCTGGAAGCAACCTTTTTGTTTGCGCCCCCCCTTGGTATTGCTGATCTGCGCTTTGGCTTCTGCGCTTGGTCTCTGCATGTCTTCTCCAGACCCCACCGTCGTCAAATCCGGAGCCGAAAAGAAGTCGAGTGATGGATGAGCCGTGTAGCACGTTGGCAGAATCCATGGAAACAATGCCGGCAGAAACCGTCCAAAAAGTTCTGAAGCGAATCCATGTTCTCACTGTTCTCCCCACCAAAAAGGTGTCGTCTCCCTCGTCCCCTCACCTCATCCACATCTCTCTCTCTCTCCCCCTCTCCCTCTGGGGTTCGTCTCACTGCTGGTTATCAAATTCAGTTCCATTTGAAGGCCATCAACACTACATTTCCCAGTGCATCTACTCCTTGAAAAACGAACAGTACACCACAGTTCTGTCAAATCTGAAACTCTTGTTGTACGACAATTTTGGGATCCACTCGGGATTCCGCACAGGCATCCACTTGCCATCCAAATCTGGTGATATCTGAGCACTGGACTCTGGAAGAGTACTCCTCAAGGGCCGAGGTCACGACCTTGCCGCCACGGGTCATTCGTCGTTTTCGACGGCGGATACAAAAAATTGTGGGGGGTGCTTATCAGGTGGGGAGCATGGCTCCTTGCCTTGGCAGCTTACTGAAGTCATTCATTGAGCTGCCTCTTGATCAAAGCGTTGGCTCGTGTGATGTGCCTCAGTAAGATGCCTCACTGGGTTGACGTTGTTGATCGCTAAGTTGAGTGACTGACGGGTTCACGCCCATACAGCAGTCACTGAGAAAGGGAAGCTTGGAGGGAACATCTCTGCTGCGGGGCTGTTGTTTGCAGAATGCAATCGAAGTGCGAGCTAGGTCCCTTTTGTAGTGAAACCGATGAAATCCTGCTAAACACATGAGGGGCAAGGCGGGATTAGCTTTCTTGAGCCCATAGATGCCCGTAGGCAACCAGTTTGCTACAGGATTGGTGGTGAAACGTGTTCAACATCATTTATGTGCAGTGCCGGAAGTGCAGCTTCGCAGCCTCTCGTGGACATGGCCCATGTGGCTGGTGCAATTTGGGAAAGACCATATATAAAAAGATATAATTGGGATAGTTTGTTCATGTTGATGAAAACATTACTTTTTGTCCATAAAATCTCAAGGCCCGATGCTACCCTGGGCTCTTGGTGTCAAGGGCAAATGACACGCAGCCATGCCTTAGAATAAGGGAAGCCATAGTGGCCCAACGTGTGTCATCGATTCAGCTGCTGTAGTTATTGAAGTCTGCCGAGGCCTCTGCAGGGCTCCCCTCTTGTCGCACACACAAGTGTCTACAGTATACTCTTTTTACAAGAGCGTGCAAAGAGCAGCAGAATAGCTCGTTCTGAAGCCTGATGGGTTCAACCATCATGTTTAAAGTTTAGAGTAATATTATTCGATTGGAAACATCCTACCAGTAACAGGCTGTCCAAGAAAAGAAACACACACATTCTTTGTCGACCTAAATAACATCACTCCAACTCCTAAGCGAATTGGATTGTGCAATAAGTTTGTCATTGTTTGCTTTTTGTTCAAGTGCTTTCTCTCCAGCCACCTGGCCAAGGCCTACCCCAAAAAAAGCCTCACGGCCTCACCTGTGCTCCCGAATGTCGAATCTTGATTCATAAAACCTCTCCAGACATGGATTGTGAAACCTTTAAATAATATGGCAATATGGGGAGTGTTATATTGAATCAACTGTCTGCACCATGTTGGGCTTCTTCCACATGAGTTACGTTACTGTATTGTTTTTTGGAGCATATTGAACTCTTGTCAGGTGGGATAGTTTGCAGCTCAGGACCCCCACGACCATAGCCAAGTGGTGACGGGCACCATGGCCATCCTGGCAAGGCTTGAGGTGTTTTTTCCACTTAAGTCCTCTGTCGCTTGGCCGACTCCGTGGCCGTGGTAGCCGTCACTGTTACTAATAGCAATGGCCTCCAACCTAATAGCTTCTTGTTACGTAGTAATGGTCTCCAACCTAGTAGCGATGGCCTCCAACCTTCATCTTGCAGCACCACTGGATTCCCCTCACGCACCGATTCGGTGGGTGGTTCAACATGGGTCCAGTGGGATCTCTTAGGATCACCAGTGACATGCCGACCACTCGTGGATCTCGTCTTCAAAGCATACACCGATCAGGAGTGCCTAACCGGTGCTCCCTGTCATCAAACAGATGTTGCAAATCATTGCAAATATAGTGATCCCCAAATGGATGGAAACCTGTTCCAAACATTTTTTGTGGGGATATACTTGTGGGGGTCTCTATAAACAGCATCAACAGCGGTTTGTTGAATGGAGCGACATTCACTCTCACGACTCGCAGGTCGCGGTCCGGTCCTCTGCGACGGCCAGGGCCTGGGCCGTCGCTCGAAGCTGCGCCGGTGGCGCGGCCGGTCGTCGCATCGGGGCGCGAACGACTGAGCTCCGGACGAGGCCGGCGAAGCGCCAAGATCGACCCATCGAGGGTCCGACGGTGCAAGGTTGGCCATCACGGGCACCGGGGGTTGTGAGGGTCGAAGAAGGGGGATACTGTATCTACATGTACAACGCAAAGGCAAAGGTAACATAGGGTTTGGTGACATGTCTGGGTCAAAGAGAGAAAACCATATCATATGACTGACTGAAGAAATTCCATGGTGATGCTGAATCTGTTGCCTTACTGTGAGTATGCACGGCTGAACTCTTGCACTTGGAAGTCTTTCCAGGGAGTGGGTCAGACAACATCACCTGCTTCTCGATATGAACCATCCTGGATGCTTTGCGCGCAACTCGAGCTGCTTCCAATCTCGAGCTGCTTGAGCTAGTCTTTAGATGCTGAATTCTGAGAACTCACTACGAAGCGGACTGTCATACGGTCATGTTCAGGGTTCAACATAATTATACCCAATCTTCCTCATCCATGTTTCATGCTGCAAGCATCTGCAAGCTGATTCTTTCTTGAGAACAATGAAAACAAGCGTCGGCCGCCCATGCTTTCCAACCATCATGAAAGTTGACAATGGCCCTAGAAGACTACTTTCTTCTACCTTCCATGGTTGGAGAGAGTGCAAGCTACTTGAAATATGCTACTGCTTTCTCCCGAGTTGTGATAACGCATTGCAGGCTCGAGGCAAACAGCACCCTATGAAAAGCGTCTGACAAACTCTAAAGATCGAGTTGGACAAACTTCAAGCACCTCAGACTGAATCAGTCAATGAAGCATGAACTACAGGTGTACTTGGCGGAGTAAAGCCACGGTATTTACGATGCTTTTGGATGTTTTTAGGATCTTTCGGGAGTCTAGCTGCCAGTCCAGAACTGCCAAGGAGAAAACAACTTTTCCCTCGTCCTGTTGCTCCAAATAGTTGTCAAGGAGGCCCTGACTCAATCCAATATCTCCACCAAAAGCATATCCAATCCCAGGATATCCTTCTATCCGATCCAGCAGCTAAATCTTGTTTGATAGCAGTACCTTTCTGTGAAACAGTGATCCAACTCCACAAATTCATGACAAAAACACACACTTCATATGTTTGGTTCCTGTAAATCTAAAGGAGTCCCCATCCAGTTACCCCAGAAACTATTTCTGGGCAATGGGTGAAAACGCAAAAAAGGGGCCCCGGTCCCGACAGCGGGCCCTTGGAGTTGAATCCCAAGCCATCTACCTGGCATCTACTCTACCAGTCTGCTGCGCCGCAAGAAGAGGGAGACCGGGGGAAACCCATCATCCCAACAAAAAACTCTGAAATTGACTAAACATGACTAAACTCAATTCGCGCTCCAAGCTCCCGCCCCTCACATCCCTTCAACAATCACCCGAAAAGCATTAAACATACTCTGAACAATTCACCCAAAAATAATCCAAGAAGTTTCTCCCCTTCAACGTCTACCAGCAAGTCACCCCCACCGTGACGGCCCGTCCCCCATCTCGCACTGCGCCTCGATCTCCGACCGCCAGCTCCGGGGAGCCTTGGAGAAAGGCCGGTCCCGACCGGGGGTGTGAAGAACAGACACGTACGCGCCGCGGGTCCACGCGGCTCCCCTCGGCGTGCCGGGCTTGTTTCACCTGCCGCTGCAGCTCCCGCACCGCGGCACGGAGCTCCTGCCAACCATGCGAATGACTCAGAGACCCAGAAGTTGGGCGGGCACCAAACTTCATCTGCACAGATTTGGATCCATGATGAGGGGATGCGAAATGGACTGTGAAATACCAGTATATTGGATTGTGTCGGAAGTAGTTTGACAATCCCTCTTGGAAGCCCAAGTTCCAATCCCCGAAAACACCTCCAGAGGAGTGCAGATCGGAATTCTGTGCATCTCGACGAGGCAAGTTCACCCAAACATACCCATGGGACTGGACTGTTGGCCTGTATTGGGGCGGTTTTTGGAGTCTATGTACATCTTCCCCAAGGCTCCATAATCCACATATAGATCTGTTCGGGTGAGATCCCCTCAAACGGCTTCGACGTTCATTCTCCAAGTGCTTTTGGATCGCACGCACGCTGCGCCAAGAGCTTGTCACTGCAGCTGGCGCGACTCCGCGGGTGGGATGTCGACGGGGCAATGTGTGGAAGTTTACGACCTCAAGTTGAGCCCAGGTCAAGTTGATGAAGGCCTTCTGGGTGTGAAACAGATCGAAACAGGCTCCAGGACTTCAAAGGTTGAAGTGACATTGGTTGAAACACCCAGCTATCTCGGATCGATTGAAATTGATCTCATCATGCCTGAGAGCCGAGCCCCAAAACCTCTGGAGATCTCCATACGTCCATATGTCCTATAAATTCATCCAAAACAATCCATGGGACTAGAACATTGTACGTTGTTAAGTCAATATAATATGCTGAATGCTTAAGTATCCATCCCTAATCCCAATCTGAGAGGTCGTATACTACACCCTTGTCCGCTGCAGCAGCCATGGGGCCGGCTGCTTCGCCGATTGCTGGCCGCCGCTTCGCCAGGCTGAAAACCTGAATTTCCAGGGAAGACGTTGGTCTGTGGGGCAGTACTTCTATGACAATGAGCAGTGCTCTCTTTCCAAAGGTTGTCTTGTTATGTTTCTGTTTTTTTTCGCATTCACAGCAAGGGTGATGAGTGATGAGAAAGCCCTGAAAAGAGGGCAAATGGGATTGAGCCCGAAAGTGAGTTGTCTACAAAATGACCTGCTGATATAGGGCCTCAAGGCCCTCTTTTTGTATATTATAGAGGAAATTCTAACGGGGATTGATTTGGGCTGTACATGGGTCTCACCCCGAATGTGGGTTTCCTACCAATGAAGCCGAGTGCATTTTGGAGCCTTCCGGCTAACACGATGAACTCTGATGGCAGCGGCTGCGGGGCCGTTGACACCTCTTAACAGATACGTTCAAGGGACCATCTACAGAAAACTCAAATGGTCTTCGCCCGCAAAAGTAAGGGAGACTTCCTGTAGACCTGTAGATGTTCTCTTCAACAAATTCCGACTTTCCTTGGCTGTTGGGGGGTGGATGTCGGTGATGTTCCTCATGCCGCAAGGTCTCCTCGCGTCGTACGTTTCCTCTAGAGGGTCAGATTTGATCGGACCAACGAGCCGTCCAATCAGCCATGCGAACGCTCCAAGTTTCGCTCCGTTGGAAAACAACCACCCAGTCAACACAGGACATAGGCAGGAACTTTCGTTATAGGCAGGACAAACAGTCCTTGCCCCAGGTCCGACTTCCATTGAGACACACCAGAACGCCCTTTGGTATTGGATTTGGCTTATGACACACTGTCTGATCTCGACGAAGTCTGCGCGGAAATTATGGTTACATGTCCCGCGGTGAAACCTGTGATGTCTCTTCTCAAATTGAATCACATTGGATGTTGATGAACCCTTGAACTTGCCCCAACCTCACCTCACACAACAGCCCTCATCTCACCCAGCCTATTTCTGGGTGCGCAGGTTTCTTGTCGAAATGTCTCATAGCAGCGACATCAATTCCTGGAGTCCAGTACAGTCCTCGGAGTGGAGCAAAAGCAAGCATGCCCATCAAAGGAATGGCAAATAAATGAGAGATCAACAAATTTGGGTTTGGGTTTATATTGGTATACCAAGAAGGCTTTGTTACAAGTGAGTACAAACACACCAAGCTGCAAGCTCCGGAGGAGGTGTGGCGCAGACTGGTTGCGGCATCATTCGTTTCACATCGGACTTCAAAATCACTGCTAGTTATAGTTACTGCCACTCCTACGATTGATGGTAAAAAAACATGTAAAGACCCACATGACCCACGGACCATCGAAATCGATTTTGCTCCACAGCGATTTGGCCACCGCGGCTCGCGGACTGTGCCAGGCCACTCCTCCATGGAGCGGATTTCCCCATGTCACCAGCTGCCCGTCAGAGCGCAAGGCCACAAAGGCCTGGACATCCGGCGTCCAGTTGTGGCGTCCGCTCTCGTGGCGTCCGCGGACCTCTTTGGCTGGTGCTCTTGTTTTGGGAAACGCTGAGAGCCCGCCTGATGCAGTCATCGGATACTCACTTATAATGGAGGTCAAGTGACTTGCACTGGTTCATTAAAGACTTTTGGGAGATCCTGAACGGTCCAGGAGAATGACAATATGTTGTTGTATAACAGAACTTTGGCTCAAGCTACTCCAGTTCAACCCTCCTCTGCAATACCTCAGTTAATACCTCAAGATATGACTTGGAGGTATCACGTATAATGTGAACACGTCTATACCATATGAGCCAAGTTCAAAGCGGGGATATATGTGTTCTTCTCCTACTCTGGATGGACATGCTACATGTTTTGCAGACTGTACAATCAAACAACGTAATGTTATCCTACATTAACTGATAGACGCATACCCGTTCACACCTTTTCACCATTTGCCATGGGAAATCTCTCCTAATCATAATCATGTGGACTCTTGAACAATACAACCCCCCATTTGGATCACGGTTTTTAATGGGTTTTATGGATAGAGCTTGAGTCCACATTATACTGACAGGAAGACGGTCGTCAAACCTCCAAATTCACACGGCCGATTTGGTCGCATCTTGCTTCTGTGATCTTTTCCTGTCCAGGTGTAGGATCTAGTCCATCCTGATTTTGCTCCTCTGACTGAAATGCCAGGGTCACAGCCCACGTGAATTCACCCGTCGGCTCGTCTTCATCATGGCACCTCACCCTCATAACTATATATATAATATTCACAATCATATGGGTGTGGGTCATGGCACCTCACCCTACAAACCATGGAAGGTCGGCATTGATAGAGGAATCTGTTACATTGTCAGGGGTCAACCGGTCCGTGGTCGGCTTTGCCTGCGTCAGATCGACTATGATCGACCCATAGGCCCGCTCGACGCAGTCCGCAGTCCGCAAGGCGCGTACCGCTCGTCCAACGGTCATCCATGGGTCGAACCTGCTCGGTACCCTGCAGCGCCACGACCTGCTGCAGCTTCTCCCGCGCACGTCGAGGACAAACGCCGCCCGCGTCGCCAGCACCCCAGGTGACAACCTCAAGCTGACGAAACTGCGATGGGGCCATGGGGACCTGGCCGCCAGTGCAAACTCTCCGACAAGGATCCGAAATCTTATGCTCTTTCCTGGGATCTAGCATTAAATGGGTCTTTGGACCAAGTGCTTCAACATGCAAAAGATGCCCCGCGCAGTGTTGGCGAACCAAGAAAAGGTACAGGTGGCGTGTGCGATGGCCCACACTTCTGAGACATCTTCCGAGGCGGAGGACGCAACCATCTGAACTTGAGGTTTGCAAACTCATCAAGGAGATGTGTGACTGAAACATGTCAAAACCACAATAAAGTCAAGCAAAGTCAAGCAGCCTCCCAATGAATTCACAGCAACGAGTCTCGGATTAGACAGCGTGACGAACATAAAGGTTGGTGAATATGTTCGGCCCATCCCAAGTTGGTGACACAAGTATATGCCGTACATGAATATACTAGGATATATGTTATCATACTATGCCCTTTGGATCCACATACCCTCTGAGAAGGTGATTGCAGATTCTTATATATATTATAATATATATATATATAAGAGATGTTTGGAGGGTCCACTCGTACCTTCTGAGCAGATATCTGGATCCCTAGGGATGAATGACCTGATTGTGGGATCATCACCTCTTTCACACCAAAAAGGCGACCTTTTGCTACAGATTGCCCCTCGATTCATCTCGATTCCTTCGGCCGAGGGCGCCGTTTGGTCGGAACGCAGAGCGGCGAAGGACCTGCCAGAGGCCGTCACAGAGACGACATCTCTCAACTGCTCTTGGACCGAGCTGCTGTCACCACCTGAAGCTTGTGGCCAGCACATGGAGCAAACCATATCAAACCCCAAAAAGTCCAATGAGTGCAATTTGGATGCCACAGTTCAAGGGTGTCACCACCTCCAAAGGAAAATGAATCAGAGCAGCTTCTTCTAGACTATACAGGACTTCTATAGTAACTCGTTACCTGTTGCCGAGCTCACGCACTCTGGAGAACTACAAGAGTTATCAATAGTTAAGAAATTCCTAGCTAGAAGGCTGCAGTGAAGGCTGCGGGGCATGCCGAAGGCTAGGATCAACATCTACATCTACTTGTCATGCCAAGTTTGGAACAACCAGTTGCCGTGCTCGTCCCAAAACATGCTCACGGTTTGGAGGCGCCCCTGCTTTGATCTTTGATGCAAAGATCTTGCACATCATGTCTAGAGGATTAATCCAACTTGATTTATAACCAGAGTCTATAGAGGAATCAGGTCGCTCGACAGGGAGAAGCTCGACAAGGAGAATCCATCATTACGCAGTGCCTTGGCCCGAGAGTCAAAGTACACAGTTCCCTTCCATCTCCACCTCCGATCTCCCTCAATCTCCGCAGGGCCAGAGGTAGTCTTGCGACACAACCAAGGGAGAAAATTGAAATTCTTTTCACTTGGGTGTATCCCATTACCAGTAACAGTGGATTATGGTTAGTAAAGCCATGTAAAGGCCCTTTTTGAACATCGTGATGCTCTTTTCTTGACGGTGACTGGCACTGGTTTCATTGGGACACACCCGAAGAAAAGCAACATATACCATCATATACCATCCATCTCCACTTCCACTTCCATCCCGCCACGTTGCCCATCATGCTGTGGCCCCAGCAAACGACACCACCATCCACCAGCACGGCGGCAAACGCGCCCAGCGATCCAGTGATCTGCCGAACGCCCGAGCTCAGCCGCCGCTCCACGGTGGAGGTGTCGCCGCCTCGCAGGACGGTGGTATGTGCAACAACAACGACAAATGCAACCTATATAATAAGAATGGCCTCCACCATTTAATAGCAGTGGCCTCCAACCTACTTGCATTTCTGGGGCACTCACAATCAAACGTCCACGTGGACATTCTGGATACAACTCCCAACGAGTGTCTACATTGTACTTCTGTCTCACACGAGCCCCGCTGTGGAATGGTTGATTTTGCCTGCAAATTCTAGATCCTCAGCAGGGCTGAAGCCATCTGTCCACCTATATCACCGACCGCCTAGTCCGACAAAAATGACAGCAACTAAAGCAAATGAGCTTGGACACTAGCTTGGACACCTCTATCCCCTTCGGCCATCTCCAACATCTTCACCTACTTGGTCTAGATAGTTACTTCGACCAAACGACCCAACAAAATAACTTCACCACCCTCTCTTCGTGCAGGTGCCGAGCCACCGTACTCCGCATGCCCCCAGGCCACCACGCGCGCCGCGTCGCCCTCGCGGCACAGGGCCGCAAATGCGCTATCCGTGGTGGCCACATGCATCACATCCCTGGAGGAAGATCCAGAAAAATCTAGAAGAAACTCAAAGGATGAATGTATTTTCAGAAAATCTCCTGTGAAAGGTTTGTTTTTGTTGCCTGCGAGTGAAAGATGTCCTGGAACCAGGAGCTAATGCTTGATCATAAGATTTAGCTCTTTGGAATGATTGGGCATCTATTGGGTCGCTTTGCCCTGCTACCTGCAGAACCAGGAAATGGTCTTCGACCCAAGGCCGCAGTGAACTACCAGGACAACCAACCTGAAGGTTTTGTCGGTTCTGGAACTCATCATCTGCGGGAAAACGTTGAAGACAATTATATATATATATATAGAACATGTCGGTATGAGAAGTGGTCATCCAATGAAACCCATGAGCCCATCAGTTTGGGCAACAAGAAAGATCCCTCAGAATAGATGTCCATATGCTTCTGCACCAATCCTGCCAGGTAGCTAGGCCCTGGGGTCTACAAAATCCGTGAAAAACATATCAATCCCAGGTTGCTCCTGGTCCGAATGCCCTGGACAAAAGGCAAACCAAAAGGTCCACCAACAGGTCCATCCCCAAAACGTTCCAAACATCGCTCGTTCAACGAGGCGGCTGGGCACCTGAGAGCTTCTTGGACGTGACCTCGGCGACACCCAACCGCCCTCGTTCGACTCGTACGATCCTCAAGATCCTCAAGCGGTGCCTCGTACGGGGCCCAACAGAATCTTTGGAGACCGAGAGTTCGGAGGGGATATCATTGCACCACTCTCCCCAAAAGCAACATAGCATACCACCTACTTGTGGAAAAGTTTGGGTTGCTACATCAGTTGGCAAACATGCGGTAATCAAAGGTGCATTATTTGTAGTGATACTTAACAAAACATGTAGAAAGCAATGAAAGCAACATATATACTAAAAAAACAAATCATTGAAATAAGTTTGGGGTAGGTACATCCTATCAGTATCTCCCGATAATCTGATCTGAAAAGATCTGTTGAAATTCTTCCCCTCCAAGTCACTGCTGTCACCCCCATGTTGCTGGTCGCCCCAGGTCACCAGCTGTCCATCACTGCGCAAGGCTGCGAAGGCGCCCAGGGAACCCCAGATGTGCTGAACCTTCACGAGCTGGTGGGAGACGTGGGAAGAGTCACCGCCACCATCCTTAGAAGACATTGGACCATGTTGGACCTGGTCCTGACCTGGTCAGGATTTTCGGAGTGTTCAGAATTTGCATGGGTGTTTGATCTATGTTGCTGGGGGGTGGATCTTTTTACAATGCACTGGCCTAAACGAAATGCTTCAGGTTGCGGAAACGGCCTTTGGTGATTTCCGACGCCAGGCCGATGATTACCTGATGTGGTGTTCACATTTCCTCAGGGGCAGAAATTGCCAGAGAAACGGTGGCTGTGCGGCGCCACAGAACTGCAGGTGGTTTCCATTGCGAATCAATCTATAACAGTGGATCCATACTTGGTGAGTTCTTGTATACATAGGGAACCTTTCTGGGTCAATGGGTAGACTGGTCTAGTTTCCTTAATTTCAAGTGGTCGAGCTGGGATGTCTCTATTCAACACAGCCACATAGTTTCTGAGGTGGGATTCTGGATGCTGAAGGGTCCTGACTCCTTCATCCAGGTTTCAGAGCAAGGTGGATATAGCAAAAAGATCTGTTCGCTGCACCGGGATGCCTTCGTGCAAGTATGGTGAAACAAACCATCAAATCTTGTACGAAGGACCTCGATATTGAATCTGCCAAGTGACCTCCATTTATTTATAACATTTAGACCGCGAGTTCATCGAACATAGCAAATAGAAAAGTGGACGATGTAAAGCTGCAGAGTGGCACTGGAGCGGCAAACATGGATCTTGGTCTGGCTGATTTACATTGGCACTGGACCTGCCAAACAACCCTTGAGATTGGGAGAAAGGACATAAACCAGGTGGCTGCGGCGGCTTTTCCCCTTCCCAATGCACAGTACTCGTTCCAGCGACCCTCCGCGTGGATATCCTTTTGACACCGCTGCTGCATGTCCGTGAGAGCTCAAGTACTGTTCTGTGCCCCGCATGTCGACTGTTGGACATGCGGAGCTAGCTGCAGAGCGAAACTGTCAGGCTGGCAGCCGAATTTTCTGCTAGCCTGGTATTCAAAGCTGGAACACCAACAACATGTAGAGCACCAGAAACACAGAACAAAATCAATCAGTGCACGGTCGTTGAGTCGCTCTGCAGTCAAAGCTGAGGCTCGGGCACCTCATTTGGTGCTGCCAGGGTCAGGGTGGGTGAGGCAGCTGTTTTTCTAGTGCGCGGGGAGGATGCAGGATGCACATCCCAACAGGCACAGGAGAGAGACCTTGAGACCTAGCCACAGGGCAAGTGGGATATGCCACTAGGCACAAGTGTACTCTCAATCCGACGGGTCTGCTGCTCCCGATCCTTCAAAAGGAGCAACACACGGTCCACCCTAGACGGTTACTTCTATGATGAGAGCAATAGATGTATATAGTAATATATAAGCATTCTTAATCTGTGAATTTGCATGTCGATTGGCCGAACTAGCCTCCTCACGACTACTGGAAGAACTCCTCCTTCATGTGCTCGGACACCTCCTTTAAAGTAGCGCAATCTGGGATGACCTCCTTGAGGAAAGTCAGGAGCTCATTGAGCACACTGTCATCGCCACGGCCACGGGATGGTCCACGCAAACCCATAGGTCTCATGAGCGCTTTGGCCTTGCGAATGATGTCGTGATAGCTCAAATCTTGCTCCACATCAGCACCAAAGTTTGTGACCAGCACATTTCGCACTTCATGAATCCGATCATCCTCGGCCTCGTTGATTTCATCTTGTATACCATTCTCCGAAATATCCACCTGAAAAACCCTCTCGCGGCGGTCCTTCTCGCTGAGGACAAAGTGCAAGTCGGGCTCAATGCCATCCACTTTCAAGCGCACGCGCCTTGGATTGGCTTCACATGTCTAAACAAGTTATCATAAGCAACAATAAGAAACACATAGAAATATGATGTGAATGCATTTAAAAAGACTGCTTGGGAATAATGTTGGATCTTGATCTATCAAGTGCAATAATATATAGATAAAAATAAAAGCAAAGTCGTCGTTCGAAACGCTCGAATTTCTGTGGGAGTTGGAATAGAAAAGAGGGTTTTCCCAAGAGCTGGTTTATCTAATCAATGCATTGCCAAAACTATATGTGTACAAAGAAGGCAATATTGGGCACCCTGGAAGTGTCTGAATTCTCTGGATTGTTCCTGGGACCGGAGACATTGCAAAATTAGAGTGCTTCCTCTTGCAAGACATTTCACCACTGAACAACTGATTTCACTTGATTTCCTGTGGAATTCCTCGTGTTCAGGAACTAAGGACACTGGAGAGGAAAGGGTTTCTGTGTGATGTCTTTTCGTTGCCTTTCAAACGATTAAAAGGAACTCCTTTTATGTCCTTGTTTTCTTTTGCGAAACAAGTTCTTGGACCGCACTCCCCTGTGATTGATTGTTCTTGGGGACCTCTCACACTAGACCCTGTCACACTTGTTCGGTAGGGGAAGGGATGGTGACAACTCAAAAGTCAACGCTTCTCATGATTCGAATGGTCTCCAACTTCTTCCCGTGCGACATCAAGGGTACAAGACTGCTCTACCAGGCTGCCCGGGGTCCACCATCAAACCCTCATAGTTCTCCTCAGCCCCCTCCTCCTCCTCCTCCAAAGCCTCCTCGGCGAAAAACAACAGAGACATGGGGTTGTCACCTGGATCAAACAAACTCGTAGTAAGTACACTGGTTTCAGAGTAGATGGAACAGACCTCAAGATGTCCTTTACATGGGGGTTCATACAAACCACCTCTTGGAGTCTGCGCCATCTACTCTCACTATGGTGCTTTGATCGCCTACTGCCTGGTCTTCATGCACGTTTACTACCTTTTTGCTCACGAGAACTAGCTGAAAAAGCATGCCAATTGGATATCCAACTCACCAAACGACATTCAATGCTCAACTAAAACATGGAAGCCAGCAAGGCCATGTGCATTTCACAAAGAGAATATGTCTGTGGCTCTGAACGTCTCCCAAGGTTCCCAAGAAAAACACACACATCAGTCCAAGGTAGTTTCAAACCATGATTCTGTCACCAGTGGGTCACAACTGGGTCACTTCAGTTGTCACTTACAGTGTTGTTCACTCAACATGGCTGTATTTCATTGATCGCCCTCGATCTGGTGCGTCTCAATCTCAATCCCAATCTCTCTCTCTCTCTCTGAGGAGCCGGCTCGGCTTGTCTATTTGTATCCTTTGGGGGTCCCTGTGTTGAAACACATGCCATCGTGGCACATCTGATGGCGTCAGCCATTGTGAATCCCACATCGATACGTTGCCGCAAGTTGAAAGGGTTGAAAGAAAACACCTCCATGCACTGACTGAAGAAACTAACATCAGTTGCATGATCATGACTATGATCTAGATCTCACCGAGGCATGAACAATGGGACATAAACATACATGATAAAATCGTATATAATTAATGAGACAATATAATATATTGTTTGTGTTTTTTTGGTGCTTGTTTTTGCGTTGGCTTCGGCCCAGTCACTGCGATGAGATCACGAAGGGTCTTGACGGAGATGGGACCCGCGTGACCCACAGGAATCCTCTTCCTGGCGTGACCCGCGTGACCCGCGTGAACGACGTGGTCGTCGCGAAGGCGTCACAATGGACGACCTGCAGACGTTCGATGTAGTCAGATCCATTCTGCCATGGAGCAGCTCCAATTCTGCCATGTCCCATGGATGTCCTGAACAAGCACCTTTTGGTAAGTACCATGTCCGAACCGCTCGACTGACGAACCGCTCGTCCCGATTTCTCTGTGTTCGGATCCGATCGACGGTTTCAAGCCTTCGCCCTGACGTCAAGCTCACGACCACTGAGTGACCGCCTTGTGCGGCCCGATCCGACGATGGTCGGCGGTCAACCGTCAACTGGGAAACCACTTAAGGTCGGCAGGGAGAAACAAAAAGACATGAGACTGAGAGCACCTGAGGTAGCTCATGGAAGCTCATCATTCCTGTTGAACTTTCACAAACGCAGCCAGGAAACCGTTTTCCCTAAACAGACACACGTGTCATCGCACTGAGAGTTGTCTCAAGGCCAGTCTGGGCGTGCAAAGACTGTGCAAACCCTCACACTAGGATGTTTGAAGATGTTTGAATCTGTCGTTCTTGCCAGACTTGGTAGAGGAAAGCTGAGAAAAGAGTGCTCACTGTGATGGAACAAGAGATTCTGTGACCGTTTGTGACCAGCGATGGTGAATACATGTGGACGCTCTATAGGGATCGACTTACCTTCTCAGAAGGTAGACTGGACCCTCCAAACCTACATAAAAGTCTCTCCAATCACCTTCTCAAAGGGTACGTGGATCCATAATTAAGAGCTATTTGTATTCAAGACTGCAAATATTGCAGGAGTTCTTCCTGCATCGATATAGGGGCTCTTATTTGCATGGCACTCGCGGCGTGGTGTGTCCTCCCAACCAGCTTGAAGCTCTCCGTCCAAAGTTGCAGCAAAGATTTCGGTCCAGACCCTGGCCCCCGTGTACTGCTACGATCGCGTTTGTGGCAACCACTGCCTTCCATTGATGAACCACTACCAGGTTTCCCCAAAACACTGAATCGACGGCTCCCAAAGGCACGGCCAAACTCCCAAGATTGGACCCACCAATGCTTGGATTATCCTGCCTTACCTTACCCAAGATTGGACCTACCATTCTGTCTATCCGAGTCTATCCTGTCTAGTTCCTTCACCGTCTCGGCCTCCATGACCTGCAGCCTCCTCGGCCATGGGTTGTGAAGCACACCGGGCAAAAGACCAAACACCCTGTTACTAACGGGGCAGTCTCGTGGCAGTCGCTTGGGCCGGACGGCGATGAGGTTTCATGTGAGTCCGTCCCGTTGTGGTCCCGTTTCGGCGGATGCAGTCACAGCTGTAAAGTCGGCAGCTGCCAGAAAAACACCAATTATTATCAAACACGTGGGCCATGAAAGAGCAAACAGCACGGGCAAACACTCGCCCAAGATACTTTGATTGAACTGTCATTGTCATTGTCATGAAAGGAAGAAGCTGAGATTGTCTGCCGCAGTGCTAACAGGGCATGTCAGATTTCACCAGGCACAACCAGTTGATGCCAGTTGGAGCACGGGCTTTCAACGGCATGAAGCATGGAGCCTGTCAAATGGTTGGATACCAAAAACCTATCCGTTGATATCCGTTGAACTATGTAATTATGAGAGCATGTTAGAGCCATGAACATGGTCAAACAAGAAAACCCACGGTTACTTGCGGACATTGGTCATTACGGTCATATCATGTTCTATGTCCCAAGGGGCTCCAGGAGCCATCGGATTTACTTGGGCTTCGGTTCGATCCTCGCAGTTTTTTGAGAACTTAGGGAAAGGATGTTGAGAGTCAAGGAGATTTTGCATCTCTTGGTTTGTTCCAGGAAAAAGGACGGATAAAAGGACAACCCCCTTGGACAACGAATCAAAGTAGATGGGCTTCTAGAAGTAGATCGAAGAATGCTATCAACACCTTTCATCCCTTTGCGGCCCTCCAAACATGTTCCAAAGTACCTCCAGGCCCCAGGTGAGAACACTTCCATCATGGCAGATCGCGGCAAAGGCCCCACCCGCCGATGCCAACGTGGCCACGTTTTCGAGCGCCAGGTGGCCTAAAAGGAGGTTGAATCCAGGGACCCACACACCTCCACTTCCCATCAGGAACCAAGGCTGGTTGGCCCTGGTATCATTTTTTAGGATGGCAATGGCGCTGCCAATGATACAAAACACGAGGTGTATGCAGTTTTTTTTCATTTACTGTTCAAACAAGCCAAGACAATGGACACATTGGAAAGGATTGGCTCTGTGAGAGGATTTGATTTCCACAAAAATCCTGCTTCTTTGACCAGCAAACACGATCGCCACACCCACTCGCCTGCGTCACCACCGCAGTCGCTATCACCCCAGCAGTACACCCGTCCCTGACGGTCCAAGGTGGCGTAGGCGAAGTTCGTCGACTGAAGCTGCTGGATGTCACCTGGGTGCCGCGAAACGTGAAACGCGGCAGGGGAACTCTAGAGGACCTTGGGGAAGAGGTCAATAGTAGTGGGAGGGGCATTTTAGGGAACGCATCAAGCTATGTCTTCTAGGAGGCACATTCAATCATTGAATGTCATGATTTGTTGGGTCCAGCTAGCCCAGCTACACTGAATCTTGGAGATGTTCCAGGTTCCAGAAACAAATGCACGTTCTCTACCGTGGTGTCATGGCACATGGCGCCATCCCTATAGCGATCCACTGCACACCTTCTCAGGTTCGGTACTACAGTAGATGGACAAATTAATCAAACCCTAAACCACCATGGTAGATCACCACCCCCGCACCCCCGATTTCAATGTTGTCTCAGTGAAAAGATGTTTTGTTGCCAGAGGTTTGATTTGATTCGTCCACTCAAGCCAACCTCCTTCACCAACAGGCCAACATTGAACTATGGGGGGTAGGGGGGTGAATTCTGCAAGGGTTTGAATAATTCGTCCACCTACGGTACTGTCATTTGTTTCTCCCAACACGTCAAAACCCAGTACTGTCTCAACTGTTTGGTGTGTACACATCCCCATGCCAGAAATATTGGTTTAACACATCGCCTTCACCTTGTTCTCAAACATCATTGCCCATTGCATCTGCTGCTTGCTGTTGAAGAGTGTGTGTCTCCTTGGTACGGTACACTTGTGTCTTTTGCGTCTGTACCTGTGTCTTTGCACACGCTGTCAAGGTACACTAACACTTGACGTATGAAGGTCAATCTTCTCTTCCACCCAAATCATTGCGCTTCCCAGGTCCTTACAATGTGCCGTCCAAATCGTTGCGCTTGTCCGGTTCTTAACTCCGGCGTCCAAATCACTGTGCTTTACCAGTTCCTAACTCTGTTGGCGTCCAAATCTCTGTTGGCGTCCAAATCACTGTGTTTTTCCAGTTCCTAACTCTGTTGGCGTACAAATCACTGTTTTTCCAATTCCTAACTCTGTTGGCGTCCAAATCACTGTGTTTTTCCAGTTCCTAACTCTGTTGGCGTCCAGATCACTGTGTTTTTCCAGTTCCTAACTCCCTGTCGCAGTTCCTTACCAGTTCCTTACCAATTCCTTTCCCAGTTCCTAACCCAGTTCCTAACCCCACTTTTGGAAGTTTGTGCTCTGTTTAGAGAAACTACTAAGCAATTTCTTTTCTGAGATTCATCACGATCCATGGAGAAACGCAGGCGAGGGAGGTTCGGAACTGGGTTAGGAACTGGGAAAGGAATTGGTAAGGAACTGGGACAGGGAGTTAGGAACTGGAAAAGCACAGTGATTTGGACGCCAACAGAGTTAGGACCTGGAAAAACACAGTGATTTGGACACCAACAGAGTTAGTAACTGGAAAAACACAGTGATTTGGACGCCAGAGTTAGGAACTGGTAAAACACAGTGATTTGGACGCCTGTAAGAACCGGACAAGCGCGGCGATTTGGACGCCACACTGTAAGGACCTGGAAAGCGCAATGATTTGGGTGGAAGAGAAGATTGACCTTCATACGTCAAGTGTTAGTGTACCTTGACAGCGTGTGCAAAGACACAGGTACAGACGCAAAAGACACAAGTGTACCGTACCAAGGAGACACACACTCTTCAACAGCAAGCAGCAGATGCAATGGGCAATGATGTTTGAGAACAAGGTGAAGGCGATATGTTAAACCAATATTTCTGGCATGGGGATGTGTACAAACCAAACAGTTGAGACAGTAGATGGACAAATTAATCAAAGCCTAAACCACCATGGTAGATCACCACCCCCGCACCCCCGATTTCAATGTTGTCTCAGTGAAAAGATGTTTTGTTGCCAGAGGTTTGATTTGATTCGTCCACTCAAGCCAACCTCCTTCACCAACAGGCCAACATTGAACTATGGGGGGTAGGGGGGTGAATTCTGCAAGGGTTTGAATAATTCGTCCACCTACGGTAGTACGACTGGACCCGCCCTTGCAGCTGCATCAACATGTCTCCTGTCCCTTCTCCAATCGCCTTTTAAGGAATATAACACTCTTAGCAGCAACTGAATCACTTGGGGAACATGAAGCATCACGAAACATCACGAAACCACGTTCGTTTCATAGGACCGGAACGCTGCTCTGTCGCTGCTTCGTTAGCTCAGCGAGAAACCGCAACCACAACCAGGTGAATGGGCTGTAGCTTAACTGGTCCCCTGGGTTGAGGATTTGCAAGAAACCGCAAGCACTCAAGCCATGTAAGTATGATGCTATACCAGGACCCTCCGGGTGTCCAATGGACAACCCACACTACCTATAGGCTTCCAGACAGGGCACCCCTTGGAGGGTCCTGCTATGATTATATGCTGTTTTAACCCCAGAATGGTCCACTCAACTTCCAAATCAGTCAAATCTGCGATGATCTGGTGGGGTCCCAACTGAAAAAATGAATCGGAACCAGTCTTTGTCTTCCAACCAGGCCCGCAACAAACGTTTGCTCGGGAATTCCTGCAATTCAACATGTGCACGTTTGACCATGTTTGCATACGTTGGCTCTTGTACAATTTTGCAGCCAACCCCATCTGTCAAAGCAATACTTTGGTGTAGCTATACGTTGATGCACACTGTCACACTGGCATCAATAGTAATTACAATGACGAAAATAACACGCTTTGTTCAAATGCGCTCTAATCCAGCCCAATTAGAACAAAAAAACTGTGTTCATCCTCCAAAATTCACCTTTGGGTGGATCAACGCCTGTGCATTTCTGAAGTTCTGTCCTCAATGTTTCCAGCAGGACGCAAACCTTATCCCTATACCCATCCTTAAGAAAACAACTTCAAATGTAAAAAGCAAGAACGCATTGAGTCACCGCACAACCCAAAGGTATACGCCTCAAACAGTCGCAACTTTTTGAGTTTCCCTGAAAAGAAAGTTGTTAACGTGTTTCATCATTTTTTCACCTGTTCGTTTTAGGGGAGATCCCAATTCCCTCCACAAGCTTTTGCAGGTGATCCTACTTTCCGGGTCCCCAGGACGTCCCAACCTCCTCCTTTTCCCCACCTCCTCGTCCCAGGACGTACCGGGACACGCAGCGTCGATGGGAGCTCCGTCTCGACCCCGACATCGCCCCAGCACGTCACACGTCCATCGCTTCGGAGGGCCGCGAAGCCGGCATAGGAGCCTTGAACCTCCTGACGGGTCGGACGCGAACCGAACGGAGCAGGTGGCATCGCGAACCGAACGGAACAAGGACGCGACTCGATCGGGGCTAACAAGGCGTTACGAACGGAGCATAGGACGCTACAGTACTAGGAGCCTTGAACCTCCTGCAGGGACGGAACCATCCCCCCCCCTCCGTCACGGTCAGACGTACGTCAAACGTCTGGCGCGACACCAGAGCGGAGGTGGTGTGAGACACGGCGGAGGTGAGACACGACGATTTGGCTGGGGGTGCAAAGAAGATGGGTGATTGAAAACCAAGAACAATCACCAAATAAGTTATAGTGAATCAACATGAACCAAATCCCTGGAACACACGTCAGAAGCAAAACATCAATGAAGATCCGGAAATCGATCGAGTATTTCTCGGATGCCATCCAAACAGTGACGTTTTTGAGCCACTGTCTGGTTACTACTGATATATATGCTGTCTCAGTTCAAAAGGGAATTCTGTGAGCATGAGACAAATCATTGAGAATGCGGTCCAACTCGTCCTGCCGTCAGTCCTAGGACTGTTTCACACCTGCCGCACTCCGCAGCAGCAAAATCTTGCGGCCTCCCCTTTTCAGGGCTGTTCTACGAAAGTCCCGGACGGACAACGAGGGTGGTCGGGGCGGTTTGCCCGGAGTAGTGCCAGCTGACTCAGCCGGTGAACCACTTCTCCCCCACGAGGGGCGCCCACCACATCCCCAGCAAGCGCGTTAGCCCATATGCCTTGCTGTCATACATCGCGACCGGCGATGCGTTGGCCCCAAGGATGCTACACCCAAGCGCCTGCACCCGGCCAGCGGTGCATCAACTGCCGCCAACTCTTGGCTTCAGGGCTTTCTGACGTAGTGCCATTCAAAGCCCGTCACAGTTGTCAGGGTTGGCGCAAGCCTACATCAAATCAGAAAGCATCACACATCTTGCTGTTGGTTGAATCTGAAGAGCTTAGATCACCCTTCCTGAAGAATCTTTGATAAATTTCCACCACCTCTTCGCGCCCGGAAGTACGCACACTACATGGTCTGCATACCCAACAACAAGCAGCATGCAGCATACCCTTCGTGTGTTCTTGAGGCAAGCTACTTGTTCAAAGAATCGGGAAAGGGTTCGACCACCAGTTCACCAGGGCTCTCCTTCACCGGCCAAAGCTGCTCGGCGACAGAAGAGCAATCGCCACCAGCAACTGGGAGACGTTCAGACTGAGGTCGGCTAGAAAACACTAACTAGGCATACTAGGTCTAAAGCCGACTTTTGAGTCACTGGTATAATGCGAACAGTATAGTGTTAGGTTTCAGTTAGCTTGGACTTAGCTATATAAGTCGTACTTGGCTTGGACTTGGGCTGGACTTAGTTCAAGTCGCATCTTTGGCAACATCAATTGAACATTCTCAACTTGTTCAGCCTGAAGGAAGTTTGGATTGTTTATCGTGTGACACTATTACTATGTATCAAGCAAAAATCATGTTCTGGCAATGTTACATTGTCAGTTCCTTTTAACAGACGTATTGATCATATTATCAGATGTGTTTTGTTTGTTTTTGTTCGTTGTTGTTTCTTTTTATTTTTTTATGACATAGTTTATATTTGTTTGTCAGACAAATGTCAGACTATAATTTATGTTTATTTGTTTTATTATCAACATTGTTTTACTTGTTTATGTCAATATACATGCGTTTGGATTTGTTGCTTGCTTGCAACATCCAAAACTACCTCAGAAATAGTTTAGACTTCGCTTGGACTTCGCAAATTCGCTCACTCGAAGCGGGAGTAAGGCGCTTCTCTAGATCTAGAGCGGATGCTCCGGACCATGGACCCATCCGGGTCGTCACAGACCGCCACATGGGTGGAACCGGACCCACAATGGGTGGAACCGGCCGTAGCCTTTGGCGAATATAAACACCCGTGATGGGCCATGGGTCGTGATCGAGTCATATATATATATATATCATATCTGATCTCACATTGGCACCCTCATCAAGCTCTTCTTATCTAATCACAATTAAACTGGTGAAGACCACAGTGGTCGCGGTACAACATGCACAATCATGCCATGGGCACCACTAGTTGGAATGAACAGACTCCCATACCAGCAGCCGCCAAAACCGGGATTGGTCCTTTCTCGGGACCACCGGGCAAACCGGGCAGTCTTCGGAACCGGGCAACCGGGAAACCACCAACTGCTGAAGCGTCCAAACCAGATGTCAAGAGCTCCAGTCACTAACTTGGAAGAACCAAACCACAACCCCTAGGGCTCCTGGTCCACCTGCTCATGAGCAGGTGGGGCCAACCCTTCAAAAACATCGCAAGCGTGGGGCCAGGAGCCGAATGATCCTCGGATATCCTCAGAATGGTTGTCGGACCAAAAAGGATTCGACCCTGCGGCATTCCCCAAGAATCGGGTTCGACCCATTGGCCAAGCAACATTATGAACATATATATAACATGTAATTCCTCATACTACATGAGTGGAGCTCAAATCATAGCTACAGAAGCCTTTTTAACGAATACCTACCCTTGGCGGTGACACCACTCTGAAGGGATTCGACCCTCTCCGTGCTTGTCGTGGAAAACCATCACCAATGCAGGGGGTGCATCCTCGAAACTGAAAAAGTACTTTTGCAACATGGGAGAAGCGTTGGAGCAAGCAAAGGACTCTCTGCCCATGTTGCAAAGGACTCTGCAACTGTGATGTTGGACCGTAGAAATCCGTCGGAAGGCTCGCTTGGAGGCCGAAACTTGTGGCAGTATCTCTGCTGATCTCCCTCAGTCACGTTGCCGGGATCTCCCCAAGCAATGCAGCCGCCATTGGGGCACCACATGGCGAAGGCCTTTCCCGCAGCGGCGACGCGCGGTGGGCAGCTGACCGCGCTCAAGGTATCACCATCACGGAGTCCTGCCACAGTAGGATTTGGAATGGGAACAGAAACAAAAGCATGATCTGAAGATATGTAGATGTGAGCCAGTAAACCCTGTCAGCTTTAAGATAGCAAGGATCGTTGCATGAATCTATTTCCTGAATCAAAACCAGTAGATAGTGCAAAGAAAATTCAACAACGTAACATGGGTGAAGTCCATCATAAGCCACTCAAAATGAGAGGAGAGGTACGAATGCGTTTGCTGTTCCTCTGTACATTGTGACAAGTGCAAACATCTGACAAAGACACGACTGCAAACTATCATGTAAGCTCCAGGACAAGAGAGGACAAGGACAATCAAGGCCAGCCTCACCCCCATGTGTAAACATTGACAAGACGGGGGGCGAACCCTTGTTCCCTATATACATCTACATCATGCTATATATCAATCTATCTCCTAGCACACCTCAAGACTCTTGGTACAATCTCCAAGTGGTTTATGCTATCACTAGGGTCTGTTTCTTGCTCCCTTCCCAATCTGTGTCCTGTGTCTGCCAGAAGTGTCTGCGGGTTTAGGCTGATGCCATTGGCAGTGAGAAGCCGCAGGAAGCTTTGTCCTCGTGAAGTCAAGGGAACCGTACACTGGACTCCCCACCGAACAAATTTGCTACATGACTCACCGCTGTGGGCGCCTTCCCCAGGTCCCGTCACCAAAACCACGCCTTTCTTGCGAGAAAACACCCCTTGTTGCAAAGGTCCATCTGATGGGTGATGCTTGACTCCCCCTCCCCAAAAAAATTGATGTTCACTTTGTACTTGGGGCCACGATACACCCTCAACCGCCATAAACGTCCTTTAACTGTAGAATCTGTAAACACGTCCAACAAGCGGGCAGGAACCAAGTACTGGTGGACTGCAGCGATGGTCGTAGTAGTTGTCCCAGCAACTCCAGTCAATCTGGGAGGCTAGGAGGTCTAAGGAAGAGTAGCCAGGAAGTACCTGTGACATATAAAAAATGACACCCAAACGGGCGTGTTTTTCAATAGGAAGACACCCTTTCTCCTGGCTGGGTTGGTAGAATGGTCGATATTCTGAACCTGGAAGGCGGGTCGCTTGCCTCGAGAAAATATCCTGTTTCATAAACCCAACAAATAGATACCTGGAGCATCCAATGGAAGCCCACAAATAGTGTAGGGGCGTAGGGTAGTCTATTGGAGACCCAAACAGGATGCTCCTGGTATGTCTGGCCGATTCCCGTATGGGCACCGGAGAATACTGACATCAACCACCGTGAGGTCTTGCATAGACCACTCACTGAGGTGGTCCAGGTGGTCTCGGATTCTTGTTACTAGCAGCTTCTTGTTACTAGATGTTACTAGTAACGATGGCCTCCAACCTAATAGCGATGGCCTCCACCGTGCGTAGCTTCTTGAGCGGCATCCTTGAAAGTGGCCACAGCGGTTTCCCCTCGGCGGTGTTGCTCTGGCGCCCCTTAATCTTCGCCGAGCAAAGTCTCAACCCCCCGTGAGATGGACTATCTATGCAACCATGCGACCATGCTAGAAGCTCTAGAAGCGGGGAAAAAGACAATGTGGACGATTACCTCAGTCAAGTTGAAAACGATCACACTTGATCAAGGCATGACGTTGCAATGATGTTGCCTATGAACCCATTCTACAGTAACTAATTAAAGTCATCTAATGGTCATCGAATAAATCCAAATCACTATAGACTATAGTCTATAGTCCAAAATTCCAAAACCAGGTGGAGAGACCTGGACCAGGACCCTTTTTGTGGTATATAAAGCTGATCGGATGGGCTGTTCAGTCTCTCTTGGGTGGCCAAAAAGACAAGACCCCTCGCTCCGAGGCTCCGAAGGCCTTCTCCGCGGCCGCTTTCAGCTCTGCCACCCGCCGCGTCGCGCTCAGCTGGACCGTCCGCCCGCTGGGCAGGGACACGGCGACGCGCATTTGGGAGCCCGGAGGTTCTTTTCTCCCCGAAGGAGAGGCCAAAACGGGTTTGATAACGACGAAAGAAGGGAAACCATGATGTAACATGCCTCAGAAATGGCTTTGGGTGTTGACGTGATGGAACATGCCTGAGAAATGGTTTTTGTCTGGAATTTTGGTGGAGGTATGGGGAGAGAGCACTATACTATGGTTGAAAACACATCAATCTACTACCGTATTCTTTTATGTATTGCAAGCAACCAATGAGAAGCTGACATGTCGTGATCAAAGAACCTGATGTTGCAAAGCCTAAGGGCCTAAAGTCCAAACATTGGCATGCTGGTGCCGTGGCAAGTACTTCACAAGGGCGTGGTTCCAGTCTGCACAGCGCACTCAATATGTTGACGAAAATGCGAGCCTGTGTTCCGGTCTTGAAGTTTGATGTCGATCAGTGCTTGTTAAAGCTAAAATAAGCTAGACTCGAGGCGTTGATTGCATATCGCTTGCTGCTAGCACCCAAGGCAAAACCGCAAAGATACGACGTCTTGCAAATCTTTCTACCACACTAATTTCACTTAAACAATGGACATGAGGGACGGCTTTCACAGTCCAACCGAACACGGTCTACCATCAGTTGACCAGCAGCTTAGGGGAAGTGACCTGGCTAAGCCTAAGCGCTTGCCTTTTTTTGACCAAAAATAACTGACGCGATGTCATGGGGCGCGTCTGGCATGTAACCCTGGGGCGCCCTTGGGTCACAGCCTTGCTCAGAGACCTGCTAGAGCCACAACTCGTGACCTGCTAGAGCCTCTGGGAACAGATGATGAGCGACGTGCAAAGCCTCATTATGTGTTGTAACAAGCGCGCTCTGAACCAACCTTATCGTGTTGTTGTTGTTGTTGTTGTTGCTGTTGCTGTTGCTCTTGTTCTTGCTGTTGCTGTTGCTGTTGTTGCTGCTGCTGGTGCTGTTGCTGTTGCTGTTGCTGTTGCTTGTGCTGCTGCTGCTGCTGGTGGTGGTGTTGTTGTTGTTGTTGTTGTTGGTGTTGGTGGTAGAGACAAAAACAGCTGCCCAACATAGTTGTCACATGTTGCAAGTCAGGGATTTCAAAGGGGCACTGTTAGGGATAGGGTCGAAGGTTTGGAGAGATGTTAGTAGCTGGACTTCTTGTCGTTGTGGTACTCAAGTCTTGGTTGGTCTGTTTCTTGTTTTGTGATGTGTTTTGGGATGTTGTTCTGGAGGGGGGGGGTCAAAAAACAACAACGGGGCTGCAGATTTTGTTTCTAGGGGGGTAGAGACAACAACATCTTCTGAGGGGGGGGTCAAAAAAACAACAACGAGGCTGCAGTTTTTGTCTCTAGGATGTGGTAGAGGTTCTAAGTAGAAGTTTTACAGAGGCTTAGCTGACCGGACTCCCACCACCACCACCACGACTACTACTACTACTACTGCTACTACCACTACCACTACCACTACTACTGCTACTGCTACTGCTACTAGTAGTACTACTACTACTACTACCACTACCACTACCACTACCACTACCACCACCACTACTACTACTGCTGCTACTACTACTACTACTGCTACTACTACTGCTACTACTACTACTACTACTACAGCTACTACTACTGCTACTACTACTAGTACTAGTACTAGTACCACTAGTACAAGCGCTACCACTAATGGTAAAAGTACATGTTGGCTGGTTGTTTTCGGGGGGGGTCAAAATAACAACGACGGGGTTGCAGATTTTGTTTCCACCCCCTTGCAGATTTTGTTTGTACCTTGTTGTTGTTGTTGTTGTTGGTAGAGACAAAAACAGCCGCCCAACATAGTTGTCACATGTTGCAAGTCAGGGATTTCAATGGGATTCTGTTAGGGATAGGGTCGAAGGTTTGGAGAGATGTTAGTGGCTGGACTTCTTGTCGTTGTGGTAGTCAAGTCTTGGTTGGTCCGCTCTTTGTTTTTTGTTGTGTTGTTTTGGGGGGGGGTCAAAAAACAACAACGGGGTTGCAGATTTTGTTTCTCGGGGGGGGTGGAGACAACAACATCTTTTGGAAGGGGGGGGTCCAAAAAACAACCACGGGGTTGCAGTTTTTGTTTCTAGGATGTGGTAGAGGTTCTAAGTAGAAGTTTTACAGGGTTTACTTAACCAGTTACAATAAGCATCACCAGTAGCATGACCCTCAGAGGAGTTTCATAGACCCTAAGAAGGCGTTTAAATCGACCATATTGTTCCATTGGAATCCAGTTTTCCAGGAGTCTCCGAGAAAAAACTGATTTTCAGTGCATAGATTGAGAACCGGGTTTCCACCCCCTCCGCCTCCGCACACGCCCCGCACTGTCCACACGTCCCGGGGTGGGGGGTGTCTACCACTAGTAGTAGTAGTAGCACTAGTACCACTAGTAGTAGTAGCAGTAAAGTGCTTGTTGTCTGGCTGTTTTGGGGGAGGGGTCAAAAAACAACGACGGGGTTGCAGAATTTGTTTCTACCCCCTTGTAGAGAAAAAGAAAGAATATGTGGTGTAACGGGGTTGCAGATTTTGTTTGTACCTTGTTGTTGTTGTTGTTGTTTTTCTTCTGTGAAGCTTATCGTTCCTGAGGGTTTGGAACCTTAGTGTGTTTGTGAACCTTATCGTTCCTGAAGGTTTCCTTGACTTTACTTACTTAGTCTTCACTGTAGAGATGCTGCCTTCGTCGGAGGTTTTGGCAGTTGCTCATATGCAGACTATGTAGTTGGTGAACTCTACTGATTTTAAACGGCTGGCTGCCTGGCTCTTTAAGATTCTCCTCCATCCCTCCTCAGAACGCTCAATTCTTCTACCCCATCTCCTCATAGCCGCTCCGCAGGGTACTCCTCTCGGCCTCCTGTGCGCGTGAAACCAGGTCCTATCACCATCTCGTTCAAGAAATGCTTTAAAGATTTTAAAGTACCGAGTTACATAGAATCAGAAAGTTGACCTGAACTTGAAACAGCAAACAACCATGCATGATCGACCCTTCTCCATTCTCGTTTAACATGCCAAAACCGACAGGTCGCGTGACAAAACACTTTGAGCTGCTGACCGGGATCACCCCTGTGGCGCCCCGAGCACCGGCCGCCGGTCGCGTCGCCGGTCGCGTAGTGTCACCTCGCCGCGACGCGCCTCCAGTTCGTTCATCAGGTCCCGACTGGAGAGCGAGGAGAGCGAGGGAGGTGCGAGGGGAAGGGGCGCTTCGGTCAAAAACGGTCCTGGGGCGGTTTCTGCTTGGGGGTTCTTGGGGCCGGGTTTCCCACCCCAAATAACCCCTTTTGAGAAAAAAGGGGCACTGTGTTCCCCCAAAACAGTGCTGTTACAGGTTAACCTCTTACATTCGCTCGAGGAAGATCCACGATCAAAAGCCGATTTCAGAGAAAAGCTCGTGCCATTGAGCAAGAATAATCAGCCCAGCTACACATGGGCCTCATCAACCACTCAAGTAGCAAGCTATAGCAAGTTATTGCGGGAAAAGGACATGTATATATATATATATTATATGATATACATATTTTTTTAATATATAAGTACATATATATGTATATATTAGTTGTACATATAGTTGTACAATATATAGTTGTATGACCACATATAGCTTCTATATATACCACATTATACAGCTGATGACATGGCTGCTGGTCATACACCAAGATACCGACCAGTTGACCATGGTTGACCTACCTGGTGCTATGAGGCTTCCATCCACTGGTCGCACCGGTGAAACCGGGCATGTGAAGAGTGTGGTCCCGAAGCACCCGAAGCACCAGGGAAATCCAATGGACAACCTCAAGATTTGTACATAGTTTCTACAGTTTCACCCAAAGGCGATGTAAAAAGGATATGCACAAAACATATTATATTACTAACTTTCCCTACACGTTTAGGTCAGCTCACTCTCAGTAAAGACAAAACCTCCACGTAGGTCCCATCCGCCGACCGACGGACCGTCTGCCCATCGAGGTAACGGCGCCTGAGGCTCGATCGGTCCAGTCCTGGCTGCCACCACTCTGCTTGTTCTGCCCATGGGACATGGGATGTCTCCCCAAAAAGTGCTTGGAAAAACGACACCTGTAATGATCTACAGGTAGCTAGGTAGATCTGCAAGGCTGCATCGTCCACAGAATTCTGGTCAATAAATTAGCCCTAGCCAGCTTACATTTGTTGAACCTTCCTTCGTTGCACTTCTTTTGGCGCAACCTTTATCTCTTGCAATCAAGCACTTGCTCGAGGATCGGCTCTTTTTGACAAGTTTGAACATCCTTCAGATGCAGCCATGTTTGGAATATAAACACTCAAAGCCCCACAGCGTGTCTTCTAACCCCTTTAACGTTGCATGAATTGCTTTTTGTTGAGTGTTTATAACCCTGTAACCTTTCAATATGTTTGTTTAGTTAACTTCCTGCCACCTTAGCCTCAACCTCATCACGGTTTACAACAAACAGTCTTACCGTAGGAACGCTCTCTTATATAGTTTACACCGGACGCCATCAACCATGAAATCTTTGAGATTGATTTCCTGGTTGTGGTGCCCCCAGTGCTGGGTGCAAGGGCAAACCAACATCTATGTCACACTTACTTAGAGAATAACAAAAAAAAAACGCCTCAAAAACTCGTACAACAAAAAAGCACTCGGTCAAGCTTGTGAACTCTCATAGACCATACAGACCGACCCAAAAAAAACCGTTTGGGCCGGTCTCGCTCCGCGACCGGGCGACCGCCTCCAAAGGTGGCCGTGCTGGGGCGCAAGGTGGCGAAGGGCGAGAGCCGTGAAAGGCTGAGGCTCCGAGCCTCCGGTTCTCCGGGTCGGTGGGTGGGGCGAAGAGGATGAGCCGAGACCGATGAATTCAGGTATAGTCTTTTGACCTCTGACCCAAGCCAGAAAGATTTTTCAGTAACAAAAATCATTTGGGGTATATATATATATATATATCCGTACTAGGGCTCGAGATATCATGGTAGATCCCATTCCCTGTCAACAGTGATCTTTTATCGACCGTCACAGGTATAATCTGGCATATGGGATGTAATAAGACATACACACACAATGTACATCACACTCCGACCACAAGGAAATGGATGGCCACCGGGAAGACCAGTTTCCGAATACTTCCAGAAGGTATGATCTCCTAAATCATCCTAGATCCCTAGAAAGCATGCATTAGCAGCTCACTAGACTAGCAATCCACTTTTTCAGGGAATCTTGGGTGAGGGCGGAGAGCGAGTTTTCCCTGGCTGGCTGAGAGCAAACCCTGTCTCAAAATGTGTGTGTGTGATTGCTGCTTCTATGAAAGCCACTGAGCTATTTTTGGTTGGTCATTGCAGGAGATTCTTGTACCCAAAGACACAGACTTGGACTTCATTCCTACCTTGGCAGTGTCCGAAAGCCTTTGCTGACTGTCCAAGATTTGAGCATACAACTCTTTTACCAGGACCTTCAGAGTGACATAAAGTGACCCTCTGAGATCCCAGGAACAGAGATTCTAAAGATGTCGCTTTGAAGGTCCCAGTACTTTGCTTCGCTTTGCCGCAAGGACTTTAAAGAAGGGCCGCCAATGGTCCATGAATGAACAGCTCAGCTGACGGTGCCCCAACCAAAGGACACCCTTTCAATAGCTCTTTGGGTCGAATCATGTCGAATCCATCGGATTCTGCCGATTTCTTCCACTCCAAAGAAAAAGGCCACACACTCAGCCCACACACCCGACCGGCATGAACTCAGCCAACCCCTTGACCATCCTTGACCACCCCGCACTTCACCCTGACTTCCCCCGCGCCCCTCAACCCCCCAAACCGACCCTCACGACCCTCCGATCGCCACACTGGACCTCAGGGCCCAGTAGGGAGACGGTCGAGGGGCTTCGGGATCCACTGGACCTGGGCCGCTTGGCAGATCTGCGGAGTGGCGAAGGGGCCGGCGGGCCGACGGGTCCGTGGCGGGTGGCTCGGGGGACGTGTGCTGAAGGGCCCACTCCGCTGGGCTTCTCTGGCTGGCTTGGCTGGACTTTCTTGCTTGGGCCCAGCAAATACCAGGTCAACTGCTTGGTTTTGTTCAGGAAACAGAACGCAAACAAGTTCGGTGACCAGGATTTGTTGGGTCACTGGCTACATGCACATATATGGAAAGAACACAACACTTGACAAGCAAGAACACACTCACCAATCACCATTCTATAGCCTCCCGGTACAAGTAAGGATCACAGCAAAACACCTGCACGTGTTAGAAATGTGTCTCTCCCCACTCGCTGCACAGAAGCTCGTGGGCTCGGCAGGCCAAGCTTAAACCGAAGAATTGAGAATCACATCATGCAAAAGACACGCATCATTTCAGACACTTCAAAAAGGCTAGACTTGAAGGACTTCCACAATTCCAACGCGACTGGGCAAGCAAACACATGCACAACACACAAACACAAACACACACACACACATAGATTAAATTGGGAAGCCCTTGGAAGTCCAGAAAGAGGCTCGTGAAATGATGCCGTTGTGTCTTTCTTACAGATGACCAGAAAGAACACCTCCACGGTTGCTCAAGAGTGGTTTGTGAGTTTGCACCTGTCCGCCGTTGTCGCAGTAGAATTAGAAAACAGCGTATTCAATCCATAGGGATCCACATACCAAACCTCAGGAGGTACGACTGGGCCCTCCAAGCCTACATAAATAGTCCCCAATCACCTTCTGAGAAGGTACGACTGGATCCCTAGGGAATAAACTATATTACATGTTATTAATGTTTTTGATATCAAAAACCCAAAGTACCTACATGGACCACTGCATGGGTCTACGGATTGGCACGGCAAGGACCCGTGTAGAACTCCTACACCTTGGCGTGGCGCCAAACATCCTGGACTCGACACAAAACACATCAATGCCAATTTGCCCTTTAGGCAAACTAAAATCATCTAAAATCATCCAGATCCACGCAATCTGGGTCTTTGCGGTCTTTGATGGTCTTTGTATGTGTTACTTCCTCCATCAAACGCCAGACCTCCTGCGAGGAACATCGAAAGAGTTGCACTCCCTGACCAAAAAGATGTCGAAATTTGGCACAATTGTCCTCTTCGATTCGGATGATGCATGAAATCCGTTCGGACCAAACAGGTGGTGAACTTCTCCACCAAATCGATTCTTCCAAACAGGGCTATTCCACCGACGTCTCAGCCCTTCGGCTCCCCGACGCCGGCCGGATGCGGGAGGTGGGACTGGGGCTCGCAATCGGTTCCGTCACCACGCCTGGGAGGGGAGGGGTGTTAGTGGGGCGATCAAACCGCGCTATCAGTGCGCGGTACCGAAGTGACATGACAAGACATGACGGTTCATGATATTTGGAATATGATTTTGGAACCTAGCTATTGAGAATCTCCTGTGAGGCCAAAAGGAAAATACCTGCACTGGGAAACCCAAAACAGGAAAGAGGACTACAACTATAAAAAACTTTCATTGGAAAGAGCCTGTTTTCCAAATTTTAAAAAAGTCAATCCCAAAAGTCAAAGTCAAAAAAAAGTCAAATCAGCAAATTTCAGAAAGTCAAGAAAAAGCCAATTTGCCCAGATCCGACCTTTTTTGACATTTTTTCGACGTTTTTTGTTCTTTTAATGTTTTTTTTACAAATTATTGCTTACCTTTTTTTGACTTTTGTTTTTCGATTTTTTTTTTGACTTTTTCGAGCTGTGGTCTACGGTTGACTTGTTTTTGACTTTTTTTGACTTTTCTTGACTCCAGTAATCCGCCAAGGCGAGGAGCCACAGTTTTGACTTTTGCTTGACTGTTTTGGACTTTTTTTTTCGCCTTGTTTTTGACTTTTGTTTTTTACTTTTTCGAGCTATGGTTGACTTTTTTTTGCCTTGTTTTTGAGTTTTCAATATGACTTGTTTTTGACTTCGACTTTTCCAGTTGACTCTTTTTTTGACTTCTTTTTAAATCACGGCTTCTGGCCTTACCATATGAAAGTTTGTTATAAGACTAAAAAGATCAAAACCTGCACAGCACAGCAAGGAATACTCGAAGATACTGATTGATTGCTGGGATACTCTGAATCTAGCATGACTCCTTTGTACACCCAATGAAGCAGTATCAACATTGCCAATTTATAAGATGTGTCAAAAACCAAGTCATCCAACTCCGTCTGAACATGTTGATGAACGCCTGGCAGGAAGATATATATTATACATATAATATATATAATATAGATAGTATATATCAAATAATACACACAGTATATATATTATATATATACACACTCCTATCATCTCCTATCCACCATTCAGGGAGTCTTTTGAAAGCAATGCCTTGCAACATATGTTATAATTGTCTGACGTCCCAGCTACCCACCAATGCGTATGGTCATCTTAGGACATCTTCCTCAAAAGCTTCTGAAGCTTCCCCAGACTTCCAGGATCCACAACCAGCGGACAACTGGTACTGGAACACCCCCAGTTCGACCACCTAAAACGTAAAAAGAATGAACATAGACCAGTCTACCCCTTGGGGCGATCGGGTGTCTCCACACGTTGACTTGGGCCTGTCGGTCTCCCAGTCTCGCCTCGAGCTCCGAGGCGATCGGACATGTGTCGGAGCGGCCGGAGGGGAATCCAACGGATGGTGAGGCTTCATGTGTTGGTTGAGCTGGAGGGATGTGGAGGATGAGGAGCTGGGAGGTGGAGGATGAGGAGGGCAGACTGGAGGGCAGATTTGACCTACCAACAGTTGGTTTCTTGCTTTGAAAACTTCTGAACAAGCCGAGCGTTCTAATGGATATTTTAGATTCTGATCTACCTTTGAATTGGAAACCAAAGGAGTCTGAATATCGCCCGTACGCAGCAAACGAAGGCTCAGTTGTTCTACCTACCTTGCCCGTCCAATTGTGTCGTGTGGCATCTTTTGAAGCATGATGTTGTTTGGAAGAGCTTGAGCCTCTCAAAGGCAAGCATCATCCGTAGCAACTCAGATGTCAGATATTTCAGCAAAAAACTGTTTACGCATCTCGTGAAAACTCTGGCCGTTCGTCAGCATCATGTGCCCATAATATGGTGCAGGGCATCCCTTGGGGTCTGAAGTCAAGTCATTTCATTTCCAGCTTCAAGCTTTTGGCCGTGCTTTTCAGTTGAATTCCACCTTATTGACGGGACAAACAAATCACCAGCTCAAAATCAGGTGTGGCAGTATCGATCCTGACATCGCCACAAGTCAAATCGGAAGAGACCTGAAGAGTGGGGTGTTGGCACCCTTTTCTAGGACCTGCTGCAGCCCACCATCATCAGTTCTTAACGCCATACAACTCCCTGCTTTGAACATGGAGAATGTGAAGTTGTGAGACCTCGTGATTTCTTGGGTAAAAGCCAAGAGCGTGTGAAAGCCCACGCAGCGACACTTCGGCCCAATCCACTCGCTTCAGCGACACTTCGGCCGCGCGTGCGCACCCCTTTTTGGCATCGTCACGTGTCGAAGACCTCACGGCGGATGCGGTGGTGGGACGAAGACCTCGTCCAAAGACCCCCACAGGATGCGTTTTCACGCGGCGGAACGAGCAATGACGGCGCTATACCATATATATATATATATATATATGTGTGTTTTTTTTGAGGCTTGATAGGGCATTACGCCCAACTGCAGTCTTTGTGGTGTGATTCTTCGGTGGGTGGGGGCAGGAAGGGGCCCATTGCCTGTCAACATCAAGATGTATGGAAGTACCAAAAGAGCACTTTTAAGAAGGTAAAACCATTTGCAAGGGACACCAAAGCACGAATGATTTTCATATATAATTACTATGTATATATATATATATATGTTTTAATACTATTCCGTACTTCGCTCGCTCACCTGGTTTGGGAGTGCCTGAAAATTGCCTCGGTCACAAGTGCACCCGCAACTTCTCCTCTCCTGTAAAAAAAAGCCTTCACGGGGTCATTTCATGTCATTTCCTACGATTCAAGGCATGGAAAGGCTGAAAAAACCTACCAAAGTGTTCCTTCAGCTCTGTTGATGTGTCTGCTGTGGCTTGGGGCCCAAGCCAGTCTCCTGGAGTTGTCACACCTCTTCCCGATCCCTTTTTTGGACTGACTTTAGATGACATTCTCAGTCCAAAAGGGTGAGACCCAAGTATCTAGACCAAGGAACCAGTAATAACTAGATCCTCAGCCAGCAGCGAAAAACAGCCACATGCCAGAAGACTCACCTTATGAAAAACCATATGGATGTGTATGAAAACAGGGACAGCCTCCAGGCAATGACCGACCGTTTGGAAGGAAAACAAACCAGTGTCTCATGGTGTCTGAGACCACCCCACCCGGACCACGCCACGGATGGCGCTTCGGCACACCGGGCCTAGGCGCTTCGGTTTCTGTCGGACACATCAACCACGCCCCATGGGAGGCCGAAAGATTTTGCAAATGACCACTGAAACTACAAGTACCCCAATGTAGGCAACTAATCGTACATATTACATATATTACATGGAAACAAATCAATGCAATTAATCGTATATATATGTAATAATGTGATTACATGCAGTGTCTCGGCACGAAACAGAACTGGAGTATAGACACAAGCGGACACAAGCTTTTTCTATAGTTTACTTGTTTGTGAAGAAATAAACATAGAACCTGTCTTCATTATGTTTCACTGGCGTACGCTGTCATCATCACTGGTTCCAGATTAGACACATGAAAATGAGGCTGCTTGGTGGACGAAGTGCCTTTCCGTGAACCTATCTTCGTGAAGTCAGGGGTATAGGACGGTAGGATGTCGCCGGGAACAAACCCTGGTCTCGTGCGAGTCAGCAAATTAGTAAATTAGAGTATCCAAGGGTATGAGCTAGGACAACACACATCACGATTCTAAAAATCATACTCACTCGCCCACTGAAGTACTGAACTATCCAAGCATTGTTTTGATTATGCCTCTAGCAAACATAACATGAATTTTGAGTCTGAAATTCATACTCACTGAATGCTGAACTATCAAAAACATAGTTGTTGATTTTTACTATGCCTCTAGCAAACATACAAAACATTTATCGAACATGGTCTCTGGAACGCACAAACAACTCAGCTTTTAGAGCAGCAATCCTCAAGTTAGATGGATCATGGTACAATCCAATCCAAACCAATTTGAACACCATAGCCATACCCATGCATAGCAAAGTGGTTAGGGAACTCCCTGTAGCTCCTTGGCCCTTGGCTCCTTGTTTAAAGGATATGGATACCCCATGATACCCCTGAGCTCCCTCCTGACCACCAGCCAAATGCCAACATGTTCCATCTTCAGCATGATCAACCACTTTCCACTTTTCGAGGTCCCAAGTCATCTTCGGCGAGGCACATGGTCGGCCTCGATCCTGTGGCACGTTGGTGGGTGTGGAAAAGAAGGATGTGAACTGCCTCCGGTGTCAGGAACCAATCGACATCATTGCCCATACCTTCTACAGCTTCGGAGTTTTACTCCTTTTCGAACCCCACCATGTCCTTCAATCCTATGCCTTTTTCACCAAAGGACCCCACCACACCTCCATGTCCTTCGAAGCAAAGGTTGGAAGATCCACCAAACCGATGCCCCTTCCCGCCGAGACCCTCGGAGCATCGCAGGCCAACTCACCCGTTGGTCGTCACCCACCACACATTGGTCGGGCTCCAGGCTCCGGCCCCGCAGGAGGAGGCTCCGTGCAAAACAGAACCTCTAGCTGAAGCAAACATGATCAACCATGAATTGGATCAAATACGATCAACCCAAGCTGATTTCATGGATGCTTATAGCGCATCTGGATCTGGTGAGCTTCCACTTTGGACCAAACAGAGCCTGCACAGAGCTGTAGACAAACCTCTCTAGCTCCACCATACAGATTCACCCGAGACAAGGGTTGGATTGTTGTCATGTTTGTCATGTGACGTATTTATTCTCACCTGTAGATTTAAAACATTAATAAACAATAACTATAAAATTATTACTCCCATACTCTCGCCAACACGATCCACGGGAAAAAAAAACACGTTCTTTGACGCAGCAGAATCCATCCCTCGTCGATCCTTCAAGATGTTGCCGCAGTTGAGACAGAGTGCCCGATGCCCACAGGGTGTGAGAACGGCATCCTGCAGGCCACAGAACGGCTGCCCAAACGTGTGGGAACGGGGTTGTGGTGCTTTTTGAGGGCTCCAGCTGTAGATCATCAGGCAACCTATGGTTTCAGGCAGGCACCATGTACTGTCGATCATCACTGCACTGTTAATCCTCAGGCACCTGGGATGGGAACATCCTAACTCACATTTTGATTCGACTTGGATGACTGTCAAGCAGGTGAACATGCTGTGGCAACGAATGGGCCACGATACTTCGCTTTGGGAGTCAATTTTGGCCGAAGACTTTCGTGGACCCACTACCTGATGTGATTCTTCCTTCACCTGGCACTCATGAGCTAGGACCATGGCACCCCAAATGGTTTAGTGGGTCAACCATCCAGCTTAAGGGGTGTTCATCGATTTTCTGCTTGGTGCTTTCAACTCAAAAACTGTCAGTGGGTTCAATCTGCGTGTGAGCAGCTGTAGCCCTTACGAGCCGGTTGCCCCATTGCGTGCCCCCATGCTTGGTAGCTGTGCTTGTAGCTATCCAGCTTCGGTGGTGTGGGCAAAGGATCACGATCAACCCAATCTCCCAAGTAACTCTTGAAAACACACACACAGATATCACATATCATGACATATCCGAAAAGCCCCCATCCAAATGATTGTATGATTTTGCCTCGGTTTGTTTTGGGTCTTCCAAATCCCACCGACAGCAACGATCGGTCCAGTCCTTGCGGCGGTCCATGCACACGCAGCATCGATCCTGGCCGTCACGCTCATGGACCGTGACAAGCTTCCAGCCAGGAGGTTAGCGAATGGTCTGCAGTTAGTGATAGTACTGGAATTTCCAAACATGATTCTCTGACAACATCTTAAGAAAAGCAAAAAAACCTTAGCTCTTGCATCCGCTCAAATAAGAAGGAGTAGAGTAAGTACCAAGCTCAAGTACTACCGCTGAGGCGCCAAGGAGTTCTTCAGGAAATATCAGTTCATTCATCCCTGCCTGACCACTGACCTCTTCTGCTTGCTCCGCGATGCCTGTTGCTGGAGTGCGTAAATTGAGAGAATGATGATGCACGATATCAACCGGCGATAACCTGCGATGGTTTTTGAGATGCGTTAAAATTAAGTGCCCCTACTGTAGCAAACCCCATGCCATAGCCCCTATTACAACATTGAGTTATTATAATTAAATTTAGTCTTTACGGCTTAGATACCCCTACCCCCTAGATGCCCTCCACACCTCCAAAACACGGGAGAACCAGCGTTCTCGCGGGAGAGCCGAAGGCTTTGCTCAGTGGTTTTCCAGGCTGCAGCAAGCATCATCGAGATCGATCCAAACCGTACCAAACCAGGTACTTTTGGGGGGTGAGCGAGGAATATGTGCTATGCTGCTAATTGATATATATATATATATGTAATATATTGTGATATTGAAATTTGTATGTTTGTTTGCAAGTGATGAGAAAACCACCCTTCTCCGAGGCACGATCATCGCTTAGCAGCCCACAGTGCAAGTCCTGTCAGAACAAGACATCTTCAGCACAAAGGTGCTATTGATCACTGGCGAAGTGAATCCTCTTGAAATCAAGTATTGTAAACTGCTCTGGCTCGTCCCACAGCGGATGGCCTTTCTGTGCGGTTTTTGGATGGTCCAAATGAGTTCCCTGTAGAACTGGGGCAGTGTCACAACACCGGGATTTGCCAAGGCTTTGATTTCTCCTAGACCAGTTCCCTGCCTCAAGGTGCTTTGCCTCCGGTTTCCCCATGGTGCATGATCTTTGGAAGGGTTGGCAAGTGGCTAGCAATCTGTGATGTCAAAGGTCAAAGTGATGTTGTGATGTAGTGTAGGGATGCACTTTTCGCTAGGCCTTCGAACCACCTCCCACTACCTCCCAGCAGACCTGTTGCTTTTCCCCAACTAGTGATTTGGATCTTTTGGACGGAGCTTTGAATCAAGCCTTCTGAAAGTCTAACCTGACAGCAGCCATTCATAAGGCTTGGAGGAATGTGAAACAACTCTGAAACAAGCATTCCATAAAAAAAGAAGAACACACATATGGAGCATTCATGTCTTTGCTCTCGAGGAAACGCAGTCTCCTCCAACTCCAAGAATTCTGAGAGAGAGTTGCCTGGAGGCGCTTGATTTCACTGCCACGATAGGACCGGGCTTGAATGGGGAGACCCTCTGTTTGACCCCCTGATATAGATATAAAAACACAAACACAAATACCCGGCTATCTCTTGCACACCCATTTGCCAAAGTCGTACATAAATGTGTCTTGAGACATCATGCCTTACTTTGCTGGATCTTCATATGTCTTTACAATTCAGCCCGCTCAGTATCATATTTCAATACAGTATGTGAAAATAAACAAAACATATTATATATATATATATTCATTAAAAAAAAAATCAAACAGATTAGGAGTCACTGGAAATCATTGGAACGTGCTCACAGATTGCGCCGATGACCTGCATGCAGCAAAGCAAATAGCATCACTGAACAACAAAAGGAACTACTGATCATGGAAAAACATCCGGCACAACCTGAGATGCTAAAAACCTTCTGTGTATCTTAGGTGGGGGGCCAGGAGTAGTTGCTTCCATCAATAGCAGTGGCAACCACACTTTTATTGTGCAAAATTGTCCATATTGTGTTGTGGGGTTGCTCCCTACTCAACAGCTTCGACCAAGATCGGCTCTGAATGTCTTCGTTTACCCAAACAATGGTCTCAGTCTCTCACTCTCTCTCTCTCTATCTCTCATGGAGCCACACTTACGTGGGCTGGATTCATGTTGCATTGGCAACCCTCTCCTAACAAATCCCAAAAGCCACTGAGCTGGAGGGCCCCTCAACAACGCCCCAGAAAAAAGACTAGCGCGTGGGCGCGTGGGTTCTTGCACGGTTGAAGCCGTCGTCGCCTAGCTGCAAGCTCATGATCGAGCACACCAGGTTCAAACTGTACGGTACCTCAGGCTTCGAGAAAAGGACAACCCGAACAAATCCAATTCCCTCCAACAGCTGGTGAAAGGAGCCAGAGCTTCTAGCACAACAAGGAGGCACTTAATGTTGGATCCTGATTAGTAAAGGATCCTTTATAATGCTAACTTTTCCAAAACCAATTCTGCACACCATGTTTGTTTTAAGGGTCCTCTATTATGCATTTTTTGGGGGATCCAACATTTTTACTATCTGAAAATAATTAGGGTTTCAAATCCTCCGGAGACCTTTGAATACTAAGTCAATGAGTGGCCTGCTGAAAATATTGATAAGTATAGTTTTCTATAGTTCTTCTTCCAAATTGACAGCTTCCCAAAGACATCAATTCCTTAATCAATCCTTTATGTAAAGACTGTTCCTAAACAAATTTTCAAGGTAGTAGGCCAGAAGGCCCCTGATCCTCAATAATAGATTTATTTTAAGGGTCCTCAGTTGTGCAAAGTTGTTTACTGAATAAAACATAAATCGTTATGGCTGGCTTGCTGGGAGTATTGATAAGTATATATAGGTTTCTCTAGTTCTTGTTCAAAGCCGCAAAGAACCTGAGAACCCTCTTTGTGCTCTTCTTAGTAGTATGAATGGATTGCTGAGAATATCTAATTACAAAGAACCTGAGAAAGGAACATGAATACTACAATCAGTTACAAAAGGAATCCTCCCAGGAACCCAAATTTGTTTTGGTGGTAGTTTATTTTAGAGGACCTCCCACTTGTTAGAGGGAGGGGAGGGAATCCCTTTTACTAATTAATCAGGATCCTCATTACAACAAAGAATGACTGGGTCATGACATGACTCATGACTGGCCGTTCTGTTTGACCCGAAACCACTTTCGGAGCATGGCGACAGATCTTCGGGGGTTCGGAGGGCCGACTGACCGCTTGCCGGGACCTCGTCCGACCATCAAACCAGGGCTCCAAGGTGGAACGACCCATGCCCATGCATATGTTCTGGAATGGTCACCCCGTATATCTCTTTTTGGCGCGGTTTTCGCTAGCTGGACGGCGACCCGGGGTTTGCCGGTCACGAGTGAGGTTTACTCAAGCCAACGATAGAAATAGGATAGATATGGTTCAAAAACATGGGGCTCCACACCCACACGCACGCACACACCGGAACACACCCACACATCCCAAGTTTGTCCACACACGCCAAAGAACCAACTGGTTTGAAAATACATCTTTGGATTTCATCTCCATCACTATTAGGCCATCGCTACTAGGTGGAGGTAAGCTACTAGTAGCTTCTTGTTACTATAGTAGTGATGGCCTCCAACCTACTTGCGATGGCTAATAGTGTCCTTGCTACTTTTTAGCGTCCTTGCTTCAATCTCCAAGGTACACAAAGGAAGATGAGCACCAACCAGCCAGGCAAGGTATTGCTCCCTAGCCCAGCATGGCTCAAGAGTTCCTGCACGCATGATGGGAGTGGCACGGTGTTCCAACAGTTTACAGCTGACCGGCCAACATCTTAGCCAGGCTCGGCTCGGAAAGGTCAGTTACAGCTGGTAGGCAGCGGATTCCTGGACCCAAGCCTAGCTAGTTGTAGCTTCTTGATACGAGTAATGGCCTCCAACCTAATAGCGATGGCCTCCACCTGGTAGCTTCTTGTTACTACTAAAGGCAACTTGGAATCGAGGGACAAGAACAAACACAACTTAAACACGTGGACCAGTGCTGCCACCCTGGACGCGCGCCGCCCAGGCGCTGCCGCGCTGCATGTTCTTTTTTTGCGGGTCTGTCTGGTGGGTTGGTCTGTCTTGTTCCAAACTGCCTGTGCACTCCGTTTGGCAAGGCGTGGTCCCAATGTCAGCCAATTCAAACGGCTCAGTCTCTGACTCACCAGCGTCCCAGCATAGTGATGCCAAAGGGTTCCAGGACATTGCTTGGACCTCTGACTTACACAGTCTATAGTCTATCGACCCACGGGGTCGGTTCCCTGCGCTACGTGCCGGTTCCCGAAAGATCAGACGTCCCCCACGTGCCGGTCCGTTGCAAACAGTTGCACCAAAAAAGAATTGGTGCCAGTCGACTTGATTGTGTGTGACCAGAGTCCTGACAACTTTCACAAAGACTTCATGTAGGGAATTGCAATCTTCCAACATCTTCCAACTTGTAGAGGTTCTAACGTCCCAACATGCATCCCTTAGGCCACAGGATGATTTGTTCTTCATCGACTCCTTGACCACGTCTGAACATTCACAGGATACAGTGAATAGGTTGAGCAAGGATCGATCGACAAGGATCGATTAGCAAGGAGTCGGATGCTAAAGATGTAGAGATATGTCCAAAGATGTAGATGACTCGACTCACATCGCTTATTTGGAAAAAGGGACCCAAACTACTGTGGGTGCCAGGAGCATCCTGTTTGGCTCTCCAATAGACTATAGGGATGGAATACCCCTTACTCTACCATGGGGCATCCGGACACCCATTTCATAGAGGATTTGTGTTTATAAAATGGACGTCCGCAAAAAGAGTTTATATATAATGATGGCCGTATGTGTCTCCAAGTTTGGTATATAATGATGGTGGTTCTAAGGTATCAAAAAGGATCAAAGAACTCTGGAGAAGTGGCATGCTTCTAAAATGATAGGCTCCAGGATCAATAAGCACCAGTATAGCTTTTCCTGAAACCTTTATGAAATGACAAATCCACAAGCAAACCTGGGCGACCCCATCACTCCATCTTTGGGCTACTACTTCTTAGGACTCTGGGGTGTAGAAGTCAAAAAGTGTGTTTTTGATTGGGTTTCCAGTTCCTCTCAGGCTCCTGGGGGAAGAAAACCCAGCTGAATTGAACACATATTTATAAAATGACCTGGTAGTTTCAAAATTGGCAAAATATGCAAAGATTAGTTGGAGATATCATTTTATAAATGGTATCCCGTGTTCAACAGGGGATCTAGGTCAGCAACCCTGGGGACCCAAATGGTTCAGGGATCTTTGGGCTACTACTTCTTAGGACTCTGGGGTGTAGAAGTCAAAAGGTGTGGTTTTGACTGGATTTCCAGTTCCTCTCAGGCTCCTGGGGGAAGAAAACCCAGGTGCTGAATTGAACACACATATATATATATATATAATGATCTGGTAGTTTCAAAAATTGCAAAATATATATGCAGAAATTGTTTGGAGGGCCCAAATGGTTCAGCTTCTTAGGACTCTGGGGTGTAGAAGTCAAAAGGCGTGGTTTTGACTAGGTTTCCAGTTCCTCTCAGGCTCCTGAAAAAAAAGGGAAGAAAACTGAGGTGCTGAATTGAACACATATATATATATATAATGATCTGGTAGTTTCAAAAATTGCAAAATATGCAGAAATTGTTTGGAGCTATCATTTTATAAACAGATATCCCCTGTTCAACAGGGGATCTAGGTCAGCAACCCTAGGGGCCCAAATGGTTCAGGTATCTTTGGGCTACTACTTCTTGGGTAG